GGCAAAAGCTGAAGATTAAGACACCTCCAAGATATAATAGAGAAAGAAACAAACTCCATGGATTTATGGTCTACCTTCTTACCTACTTTGATGCAGTAGGATGAATACAGGGAAATTACAATAACAAAATATGATATACCCTGACCCTGTTCGAAGGAGCAGCCCTGTAATAGGTGATACCTATGGTGGTTAAATAAGTAGAAGTACCATGGACTGACTGGGATAGCTTCAAGATTCAATTTGAGGCCCAGTTCATAGATCTAGAACTAAGCCAATTGGAGTGCAACAAACTAGAAAGCATCGGTGTGAGAGGAAGAAATGTCACCAATTATTGGTATGAATTCAGACTGCATCAAGTAGGAGGAGAAATAGTTCTCAGATTTCTTAAAGTAGAGTAGAGAGTATAAAGATGTTTTATTATAAAAATATAAGTGTAGGAAATAACTTAGAAGAACATGTGAAGAACTCATACTTGGAGTCCTAGTAACCCTTTATATATTCACTCTTCATCTCACATGACTCATACTTCACATCAGGCAAAACCTATGACTCTGTATTATAGCTGCAAGTCATATGAGATCCCTCAGCTGACTCTGAGTCCACTCTCTGGATTTTGAGGAAAAACAAGAGACAATATAAGAGACATTACAAGGAGAGGTAACTCTAACATCCTACTAAGATTCTCAATTATTTTGGCTTTCAGGGTATGGAACCTTAGACCCGACCATTTCTTAGTAGGCCCATGTCGTAGTTGCATTGACCGGTATGAAGGTTGCAGGTGGAAGGGGCCATTTCAGGAGTTTCGACAGACCCCACAATCGGGCTACTGTAAGAACTTGTGAAATCTACTATCTCCGTCAGGCCTGCAGTCTCCTGATTCTGCGTCAGAGCATCCTGAGAAGGATTAGTGTTTTCCCGACACTGTGTAAGATCGGCCCACCGGACGTGTTGGATCTCGTTAACTGGTATTCGCAATCCTCTTAGCCTGTCAAGCTAAACCTATCACAGGTAGATGGGTTGATTTCCGCTGATGATCCGATAGCAGATTTCACGAATTATGGTAGTGAGTAACCTTTGGCAACGCCCGGTATAGTCTAAATTTATAGTGGAGAGTCCGAGCCGCGGATGTTCGGTAAAGTCTCGGATGAAATGGGAACCCCTAACCCATTGACCCTGGGTGGTTCTAGCTGGATATGGAAAAGCATAGAGGTTGTATCATTGGTAGGGCAGCTGAGGATCGCCGTAGTTGTAATATTATCAGAGAACAGTGGGCGTGATGAAGGAAGTATGTACTGTACAGAATCTATGATTGTGCAGATCTCTGGAGATGCTATAGGTGAATTGTGGAGGGCACTATCCCCACATCGAACCTCCGGCCCGGCTGGTGTAGAGGTGTTCCTGTAATGGCGATGTTTCTAGAGGAGAAATAAATAGACATAGAAGGTACTGTACTTTTGACTGAAGGGCCCGCCCCAATGGCAAAATCTGGGATATTTGCGGCATCATAGTTTGTTCCATGGGGATGAAAACACACCTGCGACAACGAGAATCTTCTTCCCCATTAAGCCTCCACTATTGCGGTTATCAGTACTGTAGAGTACTATACTCCTTATGTCTGTCACCCCCGTCAAGCTGCCTGGTGTAGCCTCGGGTTTGGGGTGGGAATGAAAAGCTTTCAGTTATAAGCAGCCTCACTGACCCAGGTCAGCAACAACGATTCGTGAATACTAGTGGAAACAGAGTTCAAATAAATTTCCGCTTGCCCTTACGGTGCTCTAAAGCTCCCTTGCCTCACTTTCCTTGCCACAAGCGAACACAGGCTGGTACTGGCCTATTCATACAAAGTCTATGTCTTTGCAAAGCCTTAATCATCGCACGCCTTCACTCCACTGTGAAATATTTTCCGCACAAGAAATGGGGCTCGTTTCCAGCCGTGGTATCATACACGACCTGTGAAAATGGGTAGTGCTGTGTATCCTTTTTTTTTTCTTTTCATACTACAACAATTACGGAACCCTCGGATTTCGTTCTTTCAGTACTTTCAGTACTGGGCTTGGCTTTCCTTGACTATTCTAGCGCCATTTCGGATTAATCTAAATTATGTTATTGTCACGTGTCTCAAAGACTACCGGTTATCATACCATGGTATCATAACCGAATGATTTCCACCACCCCAGCCGCCCAAGTGACCGTTTTCATTGCGACTGTTCTCATCCTTGCAACTACCAACGACCTCACCACCAGTATCCATCCCCACTGCCACCCCCGACAAACCTAGCATATCACCCTTATTTATCAAAGTTCTGAAACCTATTATCACCTACAACCGGTATTTCGGAGAGCTCAGATGGCACTGGCACAAGCATGGGCACCCAGTGCTCGTTCACTCGAGAGCGTTTTTAAGGTTCTAAGTGACCACGATCACCCATTTATCATGGTTGGAAAATATGCACTTCCGTGGATGGGAGTTCCAGTGCATACAGGCTATGTACTTGATGCTTATCCCCTTATGATTTCCTGCTTCCTATTGCTAATATTACAATGATAGATAATGGATATCCTGGTAAGAACCTCGCAAGCGGTATCTATACGCCAGTCATTAGCCCAAACAAGGGAATGGATGGAGGTCGACGATGCCAGCGTTCCAGGGCTAGTTTCATTGGCGGAACGCCGGGAGCAACGTTCTGTCGGTCGATTGAAGAGACTCGATGATCACTGGTATATTAGCCTGTGCACGGAGGACACCTACAAGCTCATTGTCGACACCAGGAAAATCCAAGTGCCGCATCCCATTAGCTTAAATGCTGGGTTGGTGGAGTCTGAATTTCATCCCAATCCCACAGATCGCCGAGTGAGGCCCTTTCTTCTTACCCACAAAAACATCAGATTCGTGTGGGCTGAGCCAGTCACCTTTCCCGTTTTTATACCAACCATTCCCGAATATCTAGACTCTTGCCTCAGCTGTACAGGGGGGCGGAGCCATATGGATGATGAATCATGTACGGTTCCTGAATGCGACTTGTCATATCTGTCAAGATATCTCGCCCTCGATTCACCCCTCCAGCAGGATAAAGTTCTATCCCAGGTTTATCATGCGAAGCTGTTGAAAGAGTATTTTCTCGACCGGCAGCGGCGGCAAGAGGAGAGAATGAAAAAGGTGATGGAGGGGCGTAGGAAACATTATCAACTAAACCCAGGGCCCCAAGTGCCTTTCATGATGTTTGACTTGTGAGATGGTGTCAGATGGCGATCGCATCACAAGGTGGAATGGTTTTATTTTCGTCGCTCACAATTGTCAACCCCTCCGTATGTTTCTACGGTAGCTTAATTTTGGCTAAGGTTAGTAGTTTCGTTTCTAGACTTTGGCGATTGGTGGAGGGTGTTTTTTGTGTTGTCATTTCTTGGTTCCTCAGTTGTTATTGGAGGACTGAGTGCAGGTACGAAGGAGAGTGGGTGGTGTTTATTATATTAAGCATGCACTAGCATTGTCTTCTCTATTCCTGTTATGATAAACACACGGAAGACGAAGCCCAAGCATAATTCATTTCATCTTCACCCTTCACAGTTCACATAGCGTCGTCTGGAAGCCACCACCCCGCCTACAAGAGCCTTCTGACCAGCCGCAGAAGCTCCAGTTCCCCTGCCGATTGCTCGAGTTTCGTCTTAATGTCGTCCAAACGCTCCATTGCTTGCACATCTAAGGATTTGAAATCCCACCCCTGCTGAGCCATCATCCTCAACTCATATTCCAGGCCATCCAAGTCCTTAGGTTCCTGGCGATCTACCCACGCGGTTCCTTTCCCTATCGCAAGGTCGGCCAGCGTTGCTACAGGCATTCCATCAACCAGAGAGTACTCCCGAAGCTCTGGGATAAAGTCTCTATCCCCATTCTTGTCAAGAAAATCTATTTTAACCACAAAATCGTAGGTTGACTTGTATTCCCATGGGCCCAATATGACCTCGGTAAAGCGGCTATCATCTTTGGCGGCACCCACAAACTTGGTATACGAATTCCCCGTGACTGCTAAGTCGGCATCCGCGGTCATGATGTTCGCGCCATGGAAGAGGAGGGCAGCTCCTCCGATAACGATAAATTCTTCGCGTTGGTCTTCACCCACTGGCAATAGCTCCCAGACAGCGCGAGCAGCCTCCATGGCCGCCAGTTGGACCAGCAGGAGGAGAGATGATTGAGCCATGGCTTGGGCAGAGAACGTTTAGTTTAAGGTAGACATGGATGAAATTTTTTTTGGAGATTTGCTGGGGTGCAAGGGGGATGGAAATGGAGATGGAGTTCCTGCTCTCGGCACAGGAGTGAGGAGAATATTTTATAGTTATCTTGACTCCATAGCTGTTCGTCATATGCCGCGTATGCATCTCACCACAACTTGGAATGTAAGTGGAAAAAGGGTGTCAAAATTACTGATTATTACGAATATTGAAGGCTTCACTGATAATGATCATATCTGATGACCAGAACATTACTCTCTTATTACCACTGCTCCGAACAGTCCAGTATGTCCATCTTGGAGGCAGGGCCTGACATGGCTCTATGCAATTTCTCTGTTACATCTTTTTGGCTCATATCCCACCTACCTGGTCACCCGCGCCCCACAACCTCACTTCCTGGATTAAACGATGTCTGGTGGGGATCTGGATAACCAACCCAGGTTCCACTCTTCGTTCTTGAAATCCTGTTCCTGTAGTGGGGAATCGAGTTCGTTGGTAAGTGGGTCTGGATCAAGCTTACATCCTCCGGAGAGCCTATTTTTGACCTGGAAAGTTGGGCGAGGTGGCAGCACAAGGTGTTGGTGTAGGGAGAGAGGAGGAGGAGCATAGGGGCGGGAGGAGTGCCCCAGATTTCTGTGGAAAATTGAAGAGCCGAGAATGCACTGTGGATATCTGCATAACGGGGGTGCCATATTGTAATCATCCAAAATCACTCGATTATACACTTTTCATAAGACTACGGCTATCGGACTAATAATAATAATTCTCATGTGATGGACTTAGGTCCCGAAGCTCTAGTAGAAGATTGTAACTACAACGAGAAATCTGGAGGTAGCTGGAATGAAGAGAGTGAAGATATGGGAAGAGCACATGATCGAACCGTCGGGTATGATACAAGTCCCCAAATCACTACCCCTGAACTCTATCATATAGAAAGGGTAATTTGGGGAAAGGAAACCCTGTCCTATTAGATCCCAAATACAATGGTGCTCAAATAAGTCGCGAAAAGCTCTACTAAGAGGAAGGCGAAGTGCACCAAAAGGATAGACCTGATGCCGATAATAAGAGCAGCGATGGTGACGGAAGCGAGAATAATGTGGACAAAAAGAAACCTTGAGATCATAAGAATGATAAAATTGAAACAGGCGAGGACGATGACATCGACAGTGATGGCGCTCTTGGACGTGACAAGAATAAGCTTTCTGGTTTCAAATTTCTCGGCAGCTCGACAACAGAGGTGGGGGTAGAGGCTACTCTCGGAATGAAGCTTGTCGATGATTCAAGCTTCGACGAGAACCCTGGAACATGCCTAGACGATAAGGCGATATTGGATAGAGAAAAGGAAAGCGGCTAAGATCATACCTCCGATGTGGAGGGCAGCTTGCCGAGTCACAATGAGGAAGAGAGGATAATCAGCCAAGGACAGATGTGAGTCTCCACAGATAATAATGAACAGGCTCTACAGTAATAGTTTTGAGGAAAGGTTGTTGCAAATATTTCCAAAACTGTTAAAGTCGATACCGAGAAGGGCACAGCAGTGAAACAAGAACAGGCGTATAACGCCGTTTTGAAGCCTCTATTATGTACGGATCTGCAATGGCATCCAGATATGGATAACGTTTGACTCGCTTCAAGGTGTCGGCACACCCCAGAAACCCATTGGAGTAACTGGCCCTCTACCTATAGATTCACAACCGTTACTCCAACCCGCACTGGAGACATATAAGGCAGCAGAAGATACGGATTTGAATCTCAGGAACACCCTAACAGACCTCCATTGTGAGCTATGTTCACTCTCTACCCTCAAACGAAAACAGGATCACAGGGACGCCTCCAAACCCCTTTACGAGCCAGTATGCAAATCCTTGAAGCAGAAGTTCATGCAAACCCATGGGATTATTGCAGGACACGTAAGCGTTGAAAGTTGTTCTTGGTTATTCAATCTAATTTCGTTATCCTGTCCGCGCCGAACCTCCGGTGAAATCTCCTTCCTCATGATACTTCTTGTCTTTGCTCTGCTTTCTTTTCGCATCCCCAAGCCATCTTACAACTCCTAAGCCGCTTCAATACAAATGACTCCCGTTCACTTGAACGACTTCCCTGCACTCAATGAAAAAACTTTCAGGCGCATCATTACCTCCATTTTCAATACCTCTATTTTCAACCGTCCCCCTCGGCCCGACCCGCATTTCCCCTAGCCGTCGCTTGACATGGCCAACCAACTACTGTAAGCTTACTTACATACAATCTGCGTTTGGTGCAACTGGCCGCGGGTTTTTTTTTTGGCACTGATTAAGGTAAAAACACTCTAGAGTCCGAGGCTCCTGTGCATCATGACTTAGTTTGCACGCAGCTATATCACGCCCCTTAATCTTTTCAAACCAAGGAGCCAACCCTGCAGGCACCTTCGAAGCACGAAAAGGTCAACTAGCTGCTCCCAGTAGATGCCTACATCGGAGGGAAGTAAGCACGCAGTAATACACCTCCTCTATGCCGGCTTCATCGCCTCCGCACCCCGGGGCAAAACCGGAATGCGGATCCATCCAGCGGCGACCACGAAAACCAAGGCGCGCCCTTCAAACGGTTCAGTCAGTGTTCGCAAGTGGCCAGCCTGGCCAGGCTCTGGACCTGACCGGAGAGGGGGGGCTACCTGGGCTTTGCCACAAGCCGGCCAGGCTGGACTGCAGATATCTGCAGGATTCCGGGTGGTCGAGCATAATTACCCCGATTTTGGAGAGTTTTCGGGGTAAGTTAACTGTATATGTTGACATGGATTGAGCGCAACACGAGCGCAGATGCCAACGCCCTCTGTGCCTGCATTATACTAGTGTGATACCTTATCTTCACCACCGCTAATCTCTTCCATCACCCGCCCAGCTGCTGTGAGGATGGGGGGACGTATACCGGTGCGTTGGTGCTCCGGAGGATTGCGCGGGCAAGTGCTGTCGACCGTGGGGCAGGCTGGAGATGGTAGCCCTGGCAATCATCCGCTAGGGGTGAACTATGAAGGTGCGATAGCAATAGATGGCGCATCCTGTGGCATCATTCGCTCTTGTACCGTACTGAGGAATCTGCATAGCTGGAACTTGTGGTTGGGTTTAAATCGAAGTTGCCGAAATCACACTTTTTTCTGTTTCCTTTTTACCCCCCCCGCAGCATCGGCGACAACAAGACTCTCCCAAAAAGGTACGAACCACTCACCAAGGGCCATAAAATCTCCAATATTAGCCCTATCGGAATTCTACAGTGGTAGAGCAGGACCAGGTGGAATTTTCGGAAATGAGTAGAGATGGAGGTGAATGCGGGGATGGATGTTTGGAAGTCTGAGAGGTTGAGCGAGGGGAGAGGAGGAATGTAGAAGGGTTTCTGGCGAGCCGAGGATAGTTAGCGTTCGCCTGGTGACTTTTGTGCTCTGGGAGAACGTGGTGAGGCTCCGGAGGTGAGCTAAAGTAGAACAGCAGCCCTGGCAGGGGGGTGCGGCTTGGCCCCCACGAATATTGGCTAAAACTGGATTGAGTGGGTGAGAAGTCAATTCTTTCCACCCGTAACGTGCTGTACTGTAGAACCAACTACGGTACAAGTACTCGTGCAAGGCCTCGCTCGCTGGAAACTTATACGTCACACAAGATTAGATAAAAATATTAGAAAAAGAAAAGATTAGAAATCCGATTTGCGGAAATTCTGCGGTGGCGGTCGTACGTGTTGGGATCAATTGGTGTGCAGGTGCCGGTATCGGACAGTACAGTAGGTGCGGGCGCAGTGCCGAAACTGGGGTGGTCAAGAGAGAATTCGAGATCCGTATCGGTGCGCGGAAGAGTTCCTTGGTGAGGGTTCGGCACAAGGTACAGTACTGCGCTGGGAGGACTAACCTACCTGACCTTGTGAAGAGCTGACATTTAGATGTTAAGGTGTGTAGCGTGAAGTCTAGAGCGGCCCCCCAAACTACACCAAACAGCAAGACAAAAAAATAACTGGGGAAGAGCCCTCCAACAGAGCCCGAGCATATCTCCAAAGGCAACTATTCCTGTTAGAGAACAGGCGGGCGCGAGGAAACTAACGATGAAGGTTCAGTGTCGGGTAGAAGGAGGGGCTTGAGCTCTCAGAGTTGGTCGCTGCAGATGTGGTGGCAGCGTATTCAGATTCTAGAGCCGTATTGCTAGTGGGGGTAAACACTCAAGCGCCGTACCGATCTTAGGTTAGCAATCCAATCCAATAGTCCACGGTACGAGCACTCCCATCATACGACCAATTCGAGCTCTTGAAGCCCCCAAACAAATACCGTAGTAAACCGACAACCCGACCGCACCCGTCACACGATCCAATTGAGTCAAGTTCCCTGGGTATTCGCTAACTCTAGAGGAAAGCTCACTTGCAACCCCCACCCGCCGATCCGATTGAGCCGCACTCGATCGTTCCACCATAGCACCATCAGACCCTAACCGGATATTGCGGGGAAGAGCGAGCCGGAGGCGACTGACTGCCACGGAGTGCTCGTCTGGGTATCTGTCCCCAGCACTGGTAGTTTTGTACTGTACAAGTACAGTGCAGTTGAGGCGCCTCTTATGGCGCAGCCTTATCAAAACAGCAGGAAGAGTCTGCGGGTGGGGTTCCATTCAATTCCATCTTGCGCTATTATGACATATAATGTGATCGTCTATTCGGCTTCATCCTCGTGAGCGCAAGGCCGGTTTCTTTTTCGAAGGCGGGCTGGTCCTTTTTACGAGTACTCGAGTACCTGTAGACAGGTAAAGGAAAGCCGCGGTTCCTGATTCAGCCCCCCTGTACAGTACTCGAGCACAGTACGATAATACTTGTGCCGTACTAGTACTGCACGCTAATGCCAGGGCTCACATGGCCGGCAGTAACCGTATTGGTTTTCAAAGGCAATCGCAGCGACCAAACTGGATCGGCGAAATCCGTGGACCCGTGGAGAAACACCGAGATTGCATTACCTAAAGTTGGCTGCCACCAGCCGGTACTAGTGGCTGAAGGGCCCGTTATAAAAATTTTACAGTAGACTACAGTAAGGTGAAGAGGGGAAGTTCGGCGATTATTTCTCCTGTTTCTTCACACACAATTAGCGGGGCATGAGTGACAATGCGAGCCCCTTTGCCGATGCGCTAAGGTACAGGTAAATTCCTGTGTTGGCTACCCCACGTTATCGTATGAGTGCTCAAACGGCTGAACCATGGCACTCGTATCGTACGGTAAGCCCAATGAAGACCTGTAACCCATTGGTATCTGTATTGGGGTCCGCATAAAACAAGGGGCGGCGGCAAATACCATAAGACACTCGAGTGCACGTACAGAACCGAACCACCCCAGGAGCGAAGCCGGGGAACAGTGTCAAGATTCCGGGACGTTGGACTGGGCAGCTGGGTAGGTATTAGAGACACAACGTCCACACAAGTACTTGGGAGGAATCACACCCAATGGTTTAGGCAATGGTCCCCATAGGGAAACAAGGTTGTGCCAGGCAACAAATACAGCATGGTAGCATGGGAAAGCCTCGTTAAGCTCAGAGGTTCTGCTATCCTAGACTGCTGAGACTGTGGGAAATTTTGTATGATATAGCCCCGTTAGTCGCTGAGACCTAGGCTAATTGACAGATTACTATAACTTCGCAGATGTGCAAAGTTCAGACCATTGCTAACATTACCTATATGATCCTACCCATCCTACCACCACTGAATACTGAGTGGGTACTAGTATATTCAAGTTAGATATTTCTGTCCTAGGTACTGGCAGTGGCCGTACTAAAATTTCCACCGTCTTTGTGGCCTAGTTCAGGGAGGGTTTTTTTTTTCATACCTGAGAAACCTTTCCTAAACTGGTATTTGTCACTACTGTAGTATGAGTATAATTTAAACTAAGCATTTGTTCAGTTTAAGTTCCTAGAGGTATACAATATCCTTAGCCTATCAATAACTCTAATCTTCCAACCTGAACGATCTCTAAGTCCAGTCCTGTAAACTCCAAACTGTCTATTAATTTTACAACTATAGTCATAGTCTGGATACTATCCTACAACTTGAATTCAATCAAATAAATAATTTATAAAAGAAATTTTACATACAAGTAGAAGTTGTATAAAAACATACTAGTGTCCTGTTTTTAGGAGGTAGGTAACTCTAAAAACAAGCAAGAGTATGTTAGGCCCAGTAATCTTCAATTTCTGTCTTGGAGATAGTCAAGAACTTGAAGGCTTGTAAGATAGAAGTAAAGTAGAATAAATATATTGATATTATCTCTTCTTTAGGCACTGATAGTAACTTAAAGCAAGGAAGGTACTATGGGATTTATATTTTGAATCTGAGTAGTCACAGGCTACATCAGCAAAAATAAAAGCAAACC